TCTGTACAGTAAGTACAACCTGCGTAAGATCAGACTGTAATGTTTGATTCCCTCACACCATGAAGCATCTCACAGGCATCTTTGTTAGAACTATATAAACATTGTACAAAGGTACAAATTCAGCCTAAGACTGTTTACTACAACAATGGACAAATCGAACTAGGCAAAACAGTTTTTTGTGTTGCCGATCATGTTTGACCTTTCTTGGAGCTACACAAACATGGCTCAAAGTTTCAAATTCAGCCCAAGGCTGTTAACTACAACAAATTGACCTAGAGAAAGCAAATCTTAGATTATTCAAAAATCACTGTAGTCTTACCGATCATTTTGGATAGGTACCTTTGTTGCAGCTGCAAAAACCCACACTCTGCCGCCGGCAACTGAAGAATAAACACAACAGTCAGCATCCCGACCAACAGACTCACAAAACGACCCATCCCGAAACAGACGACGTCTCTCCGAAATTTTGCTGATCTTGTCAGGTTATATACCTTTCTTATAATCATCAGGAATGTTCAACACGTGCGCTTATGTATGGTGAAGCCCTCCTACTGAGAACTTGGCGGAAAAGACTCAGAATCTCGCAGAATCCTCCGCGTGTCTGCGCTTGGTTTAGTTGATGGGGCAACGGCAAAGGGTATAAGACAAGGATCGGGTCTTCTTTGCACTTCCGATGGTCACTGTCGACGTGTCTCCTTGCCAAGCGCGACAGATATCCTTGAATGTTTCTTACCCTACTCACTGCTCCGAATCTTGTAAAATCCTACACGTGTCTGTGTTTGGTTTTGTTGGTGGGGAAACGGCATGGAGTCTAAGACGACAAGGATCGTGCGTACGTACATGACACATACAATGGTCACTGTCTGATTGTCAAGGGCGGCAGATATCCTTGGATGTTTCTTACACTACTCACAGCTAAGAATCTTGTAAAATCCTAGCCATGTCTGTGTTGGGTTTAGTTGATGTGGAAACGGTGTGGGTTTTAAGACAAGCTAAGTGTCTACGTCTACATGACACATCCGTTGGTCACTGTCTGATTGTCAAGGGCGACAAATATCCTTCGATATATCTAACACTGCTCACTGCTCGCTGTTTTGAATCTCGCAGAATCCTTCACGTGTCTGTGTTTGGTTTTGTTGGTGGGGAAACGGTGTGGGTTATAAGACAAGCTAAGGATCGTGCGTACGTACATGACACATCCGTTGGTCACTGTCTGATTGTCAAGGGCAACAGATATCATTCGATGTATCCAACACTACTCCCTGCTTCGAACCTTGTAAAATCCTACGCGTGTCTGTGTTTGGTTTTGTTGGTGGGGAAACGGTGAGGGGGTGAGACAAGCTAAGGATCGAGTCTTCATGACACATCTTATGGCCACTGCTTCATCGTCAAGGGCGGCAGATATCCTTCGATGTATCCAACACTACTCCCTGCTCCGAACCTTGTAAAATCCTACACGTGTCTGTGTTTGGTTTAGTTGATGTGGCAACGGTGTGGGTTATAAGACAAGCTCGTGTCTACATGACACTTCCGTTGGTCACTGACTCATCGTCAAGGGTGACAGATATCCTTCGATGTATCCAACACTACTCCCTGCTCCGAACCTTGTAAAATCCTACGCGTGTCTGTGTTGGGTTTTGTTGATGTTGAAACGGCGTGGGTTATAAGACAAACTAAAGATCCGGTGTCTACCTGACACATTCGATGGCCAATGTCTCATTGTCAAGGACAAAAGATAGCCTTCGATATCTCTAACACTACTCACTTCTTCAAATCTCAAAATCCTTCGCCTGTCTGTGTTGGGTTTGTTGATGTGGCAACGGTGTGGAGTCTAAGACAAGGATCGTGCCTTCATGGCACTTCCGATTACCATTATCTCATTGTCGTCGGCAATTCAAATCCTTTGCTGTAAGATGTCTTTATTCTGCCCACTCTTAATCTGATGATGATCATCAAAAAGTTCTAGGAAACTAATAATTTTCTTGACTCCACTTCAGATGGCTATTGTCTTATTGTCGTCGGCAGTCTAGTCTAACTCTTACTCTAACTACTTTCTGATGATCCTCAACAAGTTCTAGGAAACTACATAATTTTTTTCACTGCACATCCGAAGTCTCAATGTCGAGGGCAGTTGAAATCCTTTGATTTAAGATGTCTAGTCTAACTCTTACTCTGCCAACTTTCAGATGATCACCAACAAGTTCTAGGAAACTACGTAATTTATTTTTTTCATCTTGGAGGCATCTGGGTAGTCCCTACAACTTTTATGAGCTGATTTCCAAGAAGGAGGCACAGGAAACAAAGCATACTTTGAATTGAAGAAGAATTTTATTGTACGACAATTGTATATGTTTCAACGTATGGCAGTGACTATTGAACATAGTACAAAAAGCAAAGCACAGAAAGGAATTTCAGAGAAGTAAGCCTGGGCTTTTAAATATACATGTATATAATGCGGCAAAAACGCGATGTTTGCCCCATGCGCGGTTCTGGATACGGTATGGACTATCCAGAACGGTGCCTGAGCATGGTTCGGTATAAAGCACGGTTCTGGATACGATGGTGCCTGAACCTGGGCATGGTTCTAGGTAAAAGTCCGGTTCTGGATATGATAAAACCTTAACGCGTAAAAACGCCACCTCGCCTTTACCCCACGTATTGTATATGTGACATGGACACTGGGCATGTAAGGTATACTAGTGTTGATGTTGCTTTTGAAAGAGATCGCGTTACACACCATGCTGTTTAGACAATGACACCATAGCGGGCAATGTGTAGCCTCCAAAAGGCCTTTCTACGGGGATCGGCATCGTAGAAGTAGAATTCGGCAGAACGAGAGTAAAATTGGCCAAAGGAGTCCGGCCACGGACGGTTGTTTCCTTTCCCTCCCGCCAGTCAAACCCCAAGGCGGCCAAACTCCCCTGGCAAATATCCCGCTATATATAGCCAGGGTAGTTAGTCTGGAAAAGACTACACAATGTGTTTGTGGTCAGACGTGACGGAAATTCAACGCCCGCGTGGTAACTGAACAAAAGGTGCGGCTACGATGTCAACGTAGAAACCATAGTCACCTCGCCCCAACGAGTAAACACCTAATAGGTCCTCGGAGCTGTCAACTATTGCCTTTTTTCCGACAAAAAAATCATCTTCTTGAACTTATGTAATTGGAACTGCTGTAGCTGGAGAGCTCTACTACCAAAGGTAAGTCTTATAGCTTCCTTAGAGCACCATTATGCACCAATGAGGAAATGTAAAATTGAGGAAAATTACTACTCTCCAAGCAGAGATTGTGGGGAATGAGCGTTAGCTTTTTTTATATGGCCGTTTTTGGTGCTAATCCCACCAACGTCGGTGGCCGGCGACCTTCTTTGGCTAATGGATACTGCCTGGCCAATTTGATACTGTCTTTTTGCCACCAAAAGGGATCTGCTTGGAGATTCGAAAATTATGTCTTGAGGGGTTTTCAATGTACAGTTACGTCGTACACCCAATTGACACTAGCGAAACCATGTTTGGAAACGTGCATTAAGAAAAATACCTAACTAAATCTACAACCGCTCTAGACCAAATGCATATAGTCTCACCTGTGTTGATTTTTGGCAGGAAAAATTTGTTACTTAGTATACGCTCTAAATTATCGTAACAAACCTTGTAAGTTGACCTGCCTTATTTATTTCAGTAACAGACTGGTCTTTTTTTTCATATATTTAACAACCGAAAGGAAATGATGAATTATCCACACAAAGTAGTGACCTTTGGATAAATTAGCTGAATTTTGTCAAAATTCCAGAAACCTGTTTTTGTTTGATTTTGCCAACGATATATTATGCAATGACATTATCTTCGAATTCTGCAGTTCTAATGGCGGCCTTAGCGACAGAAGCTGGTGCTAGACGGGATAGTGTCATGTTGAAACCGCTCAGAGCTGGACCGAACCGACCGCCGGCTGTGCCGGCACAGCCCAGTAATTTGCTTTCCTATATTGATTTATGGGAATTATGTCAGAACAAAGTGGCCGAAAGTCATATGCCTGAGTTAAAAAAACACACATTGGCAGGGTAATCGAACCTGTAAAGTGTTCATTTAGACCTAAATAAAAGAAACCCTATACAGGAAAAGCATGCGTGAATTCAACCAAAACATTGAG